TTTACTTAGTGGATTGTTTGAGTGGATAGTGGACATAGGCTAAATTGATTGGGTCAAACCACTTTAAAATTCTTGTGTTTGGTTTGCTTTATTTTTAGTTGCTTGCTTTAATTTTGCGTTTGAGTTGTCGCAATCTTTTTCAACAGACATGGCTTGACTCTTTGGGTGAACCACACCTGTTTTCTTCCTTGAATGCAAATACTTAATACTCTTAGGGTGTGTTTGGTTCAGGGAATGTTGTATTACTTGAAAGATAGATTACCAAGGAATCTTTAGAGAAATATGTTTGGTTGGTTGAAATAAATTGGTGGGTATGTTATAATAATATGTTTGGTTGGGAGAATAAATGAATGAGTGTTTTTAATTTAGATTACTAAATTGCCCTCCTTTTTAAATAATAATATAATATTATTTTTATTATTATTTTAAACTATTTCTTTTAACCCCCTATATTTGAAATTTTGCTAAAATACATGAGCCATATAAAACTTTAATTTGTAGCAAATAAAACTTTAATTTGTAGCAAAATCACCCACACCCACCCCAAGCCACTGCCGGCAGCTAGCCACCACCGTCGACAGCTGCCATAATGGTGCACGACCGGCCAGATCTGGCTGGTCGTGCACCGGTAAAGCCTAATCCAGCCATGGATCCAAAAATGGCTAGATCTGGCCGTGAATATGGCTGTTTCACGACCAAAGATGTGGTTGTGAAACGTCGGCCATTTCACGGCCAAAGATCTGGCATTTTCACGGCCAGATATATGGTGTTTCACAGCCACATCTTTGGCCAAGAAATGGCCAGATTTGGTCATTTCTTGCCATGGGTCACAAATCCATGGCTGAAAACGTCCTTACCAGCACACGATCGACAAGATTTCATCGGTCTTACCCCGATACGATGACCTTTGCCGGCGGCCAGCGATGGTGGCTAGCAGTAGATAGTGGTCTTGGGTGGCCGGGGGTATTTTGTTAACTTTTAAACTTTTTTGTGATTGAGGTGTTTTAGCTATATTTTCAAATGTAGGGAGTCTGGATAATTGTTATTTGGTAGACATATGAGGGCAAATGTGTCCTAAATGATAAAAGGTTAAGGGCAAAATATGGTCAAAATTAAGATTACCTCGGTAATCTTTTATTAACACCCCTTAGGAAGGTAATCTGATTACCTCCAATATTACCAACAGTAAACACTATTTGCAATAAAAGATTATGTAATATTTTATTACTAATAACCAAATGAGGGAATCTTGAAAATTAAACAAAGATTACAAGATTAATCTTATATCACCCCGAACCTAATGCAACCTTACTGGAATCCCATCTACCCAGAAATCTGAAGGAAAAGTTAAAAGCTTAAGATATAGTATGAAGCTGATCTTGAAAGACAATTGAATTTTATTTATTATTTTTTTAACCCCCCACATTTATTAATTTAGCTAAATACCGCCACAATAAAGTATAAAAATTAACTAAAGCGCCCTAGCCATGTAGAGGACAGTTGGTCTCCGGCCACCACCGTCAGACGACAACCGGCAATCATTGGAACAGTGCACGACTGGATGGATCTTGTTGGTCGTGCACTGATATGGTTGTTTCCTATCATATCCACCATGGATCTTACTGTTTCTGGCTAGATCTTTGGTCATCGTTAACAACTAAAATCTGGCCATCGGCTATCATTAACAGTAGGGGTGTTCAAAAAAATTCAAAAACCGAAACGGTTTTTCGGTAAAAAAAAAACTGATTTTTCGGTTTGGTTACCGGTTTACAAGAATATGAGAATCGGTTAACCGAAACCGGTTTATTATAAAAATATTAAATTAAAATAAAAAATCCAATTTATTATAAAAAAATAAATTAAAAAATATATAAAATATTAAATTAAAACTAGTTTGGTTTTTGCTCAGGAAAATTCTTGAATCGAAAAACCAGTTTGGTTCACAAAATCAATTAACCGAATCGGTTAACCAGTTTTGAACACCTCTAGTTAATGGCTAGATAGCCAGATAGATTTGATCGAAAACGGCCAGATTGGTGCAGATGTTCCGACCACGTCGGCTAGCACCGACAGTGGTTGCTGGCAGGTGATGGTGGTCTTGGGTGGATTAATTTTCAGATTAGAAGGAAAGAAAGAAGAAATTTTTTTTTTTTTTGAATTGAATAGCGTTTGATAGAAAAATGTTTTAAATTGAATAGAATTGGATAATCTGAAAACAAGTTCTCCCCTCTTTTCATTTGTAGACAAAAAAAAAAATGTTATTTGATTTAGATTAATTTTCATAATAATAAAGATTAATTTTCATAATAATAATCGCTATAAGTAAACAAACACATATCCAACTTTTTAATTCAAATAAGATTAGAGAATAATGATCTAGAGTAGTATACAAACATGAACTTTTTATTTCTCTCTTTTATTTTTTGTGCACGTGTTAGATAGTGAATGAAAAAGTGAGTAAGAGAGAACAAAAAATAGTGTTCCTACCTTTCATAAATTGAATATGAGAATAGTTATCATAAGATTGTCCATCATGTGGTAAATATTGAACTAAAAAATAAAAGGTTTAATCATATAAATAATTGAAATAAAAATTAATATTACATTTAATATCAAATTGATTTTGAAAATCTTTTTTATAGGATTTGTAAATATATTTTTATATTTTTAATTATTTACACATGATTTTCATATACAATTAAACCCTGGTTGGCGAAAGCAGTCTAAGACTCTAAGTTAGTGCGATTCAAATATATTATTTTACCTTATAACCAGTACAATCTCCATAAAGATTCATTTAAACACGAGACTAACAAAATATTTAATATATAAAATAACGTATAAGATCTTTTAATTTAAACTGAGACTAGGAATATTTTGCAATAGTGTAATACAATAGACGTGAAAAAGAGTTTGAAAATAGTTATTTTAATTGTCACCTCACAATTTCCTATATCGTTGAATTGTATTGATGTTTGATTGTATTGAAAACTGAAAATTTGTATCTCAATTTAAGTCATAATTTTGAGTTAAAATCTCTTCCCATAAAATAATAATAAGTTCAAAGAAGTGTGAATATAACAAAACTCTCTGAACTCTCTTTTACAATCCCCGCAACTGATAAAGTAGAATGTAACATTGGGATTGTAAAATTAGATTGTAAATATAATAACACCCATTAATTTTACTCATGTGACCCCATATATATAGGGTACAAATATGTCAATTCATAACTTATTGATTATGTCAAAATATGTCATAAGGCGCTGAACCGTATGGAAAAGGCTGCTATGATTTATAATTACATGCTAGAGCTTTAAGTAATTTGAAAGAGAACATAGATTTAAACGACCTCTCGATGAAACACACAGACAAAAACAGGCAGAGAATGATACTCAACACGTAAATTTTCTTGCAGGTATCTTCAAATCAAAGTAATTTTCTCATACGTAGCCGGCCCCCCTGTTCTACTCAACGTATAGCATACTTGGTTTATTCATAAACCATTGCCAAAGATGGCAAAGCAAACATTAAAAAACCCATACGGCTATTCAGTATTCAGAAATCTGCAAGTTAGATAAGCAGCAATGACTCTAACAAGTTACAAGCAATGGTGAAGACGCAGAATTGCAGATATGCCCAGAAAATATAAACTGAGACATGATTCCACAGCAACTTTTATAAAGTGGTCAAGTGACTACAACAGGATAATCTAGACTTAGTAATTGGTTTTCTAAGTTTTTACTACCCATTATCTATACATTCCTTTGCTGCTCCATTCCATTGATAACAAGCAAATCTACAAAGAATAACTATGCACAGATATATATGATAAAGTGAGATCTCAAATTTTACACAATTTACAGTTTCTTCCGCTTGTTTACCATGACAAACAGCACTATTATCCATAGTTTCAACAAATACAACCCCAATTATTGTCACAACTCACAAGGGTGTTGTAAGTATTATCATCATCTGAAAAAAGAAATAGAGGAAAATCTATATATATATATAATTTAGGGCTATCTGATATTAATTAAACAAATTGTCAGATAGCCCAGTAATCAGACTAGCTGCACAACTAACTGATACCCATTTCAAAAGTATTAACTTTCAAACAGCTACTATTTCTTCAAGCAAAATGACACAGACCATTTGACATTCCCCAGTTTGGCTAAAACTATGACAACACTCCCTATATTAGATTCATATACAATTACATCCACCTCCTTTTCTGTTGGGCAGAAAATATTCCTTGGATTAGTCGCAAGACAGACTAATGAATGGTAAGATTCTCATGGTCCTAATAACAAACAACTCCTCAAGTCAGGGTATTCTCGCCAGTAACCTCCACTCATGAAATCCAATCTAAACAAGACTTTTAATCTCAGCATGCTAATGTCCACATCAACTCGGCACTACGCCTTCTAGTTTCTTTTTTATTTGTTTAAGTCCCTTCATCCTAACATCTAGAGTCACCATCAAACTTACCACAAATCAAAGAGCATCAGTTAAAGGGTATGAGATCTCCAAGTTGTGAACAAAGGAATTTGTAAGTAGACATACACAAAAATTAGACTTTAATTCTTTTCACGCTAGGATTAAGCATTGGAATTAAACCTCGCAGGAAATCAAATCTTTGATGGAGAGCAGAGCACTGGCCAAGATGGCATATTATTATATCCAATAAGTCTTCCTGAAGTCTAACCTAACAACAAATTAAGTCCCAAAAAGAAAACCAAGCCCACATGGTACACTCAAGTTACAGTGGAAAACAAAATGGAAGTAATGAATAAAATTATCTTTTAAATTCTTTTTTCCATTCACATATTACATACCACATAAATTCCACTGTCAATTACAGAAACAAAACATATATCATCATTCAGAGAAAGTAGAGAGGAACTTTAGACAAGATTAATTGGAGAAAGAAGCAAAAGGAGAACTTAGATATAATAAGCACTATTAGGAGAAAGTACTGTGAAAATAGAGAGCATTGTTGTTGCTAATATGAGAAATGCTAACAAAACTCTCTTTATCACTCTTTCACTCCCATCTTGACACATGTATAAAAGACAAAGAAAGTCACAACTTAATAATATATTAAAAAAGGGTCAAGCTATCGGAACACAGATTTTTGACATAAATTCTTAACCATTGATCGAATGATCTAATGAATTAGAAGTTCCCAAGTTGGTAATAAAAATAACTACTTTTAACTTCTTTCTCTTATCCATTGGATTACATTAGATTAATAGCCAAAAATTTGTGTCAAAAGTTTGTATTACAATAGCCTAACCCCAAAAAAACAAGGTGATCAGTTTATCTTTTACACGTGTTAAGAGGAGAGTAAGAGAGTGACACAGAGAGTGTTGCTAGCATCCCTCTTATTAACAAATTAACTGAAGGGTAAAGGAGATTGAAGAAAACGAAAAAGAAAATTGCAGTCTTTTCCAAATAATGCACTCATTTGATGCATTCAATTCAAAACTTAATGAATAAGCATCACAAGTATGCAGATGCATGTTTATCAATTCAAACATGCACTAAATGTTGCATAACTTAGCAGTGCATAGTTAAAACTAACCACTCTGACACTTTCTTTTACACCTAAAAATCCCTGAAATTCTTGGACCTTTCTCTAAAAGTTGATGTAGTTTTAACACGGATTTGAACCCTTGATAACTGGTTGAAATCACAGGTTTCCCACTAAGTGCAACCCTAGTAGAACTTTTAATATTCACCTCTTCTAACCACACACATACTCCATGGATTTCATAATCCATGCAGAATTACAGGATCTTTATCAATTTTCACCAAAAGCTCAACTTACAAGAGATAGATGAAAGGATATCACACTCTAGCTTGTGCAACCTACAAGCAAAGACTAAAATCAGCAGCAATATTTTAAGTAACATAAAATGTATTCTGCATGGCACATGTTCAAAACACTTCTACAACAATTCTCTTCGTCGGCATAAAAAACCCATAGTATGCAACTGTAATCTAATCATACTCTATCAAAGAAATGAAATCTACAAAAACAAAACATGCAATGAACAAAAACATTGGATCTCGTCAAATTGCACCATACAGCCCGATGGTAAAAGAAAAAACAATGCTACAAGCAAAAACACGTACATTTGAACTAACTCTATAATTCAGAATTCACTATCATCTTCACGAGAAAATTCCATTAAAGGTACAGAAAGTATTATGAAATCAAAAGTTCTTATAACATAAAATTAAAAGCTTAAAAAGAGAAAGAGAGAGAGAGAGAAAAAAAAAAACCGAAGCGACAGGCTTGACACAGATATTCTACCTGTAAACAAAAATCCAAATGATCGTATTGTAACAATTTACCGAATTCACAGCTCAAACTCTTCATCCCTGAGGGCCATCTCGGCAGCTTCTTCTTCCTCCTCATCAAGAACAAAGTACTCATTCCTCTCCACTGGCCTAAACATATAGAAAATCACCATATAGAACACCAAACTCGCTGTCTCCTCAGCTGCATTGCTCACCCACTGATACTTATACGCAGCAATGGTCTTAAGGGCAAACACCACAATTCGCGTAAAATACAAGTACCCAATCACCACAATATAAAACTGCCTAAACAATGTTAATTTCGCCAAGTTTCTGGCCGCCTTCCCATCAGACTTCGATGTCTCCCTCAAAGACCTAATCGACCACACAATCGGGAAGATAATGGCGCAACAGCAGATAATATCTACCAACAAGAACACCTGGTTCCATGTCACCCAATCTTTAATAAACGGCCCCGTTTCACCAATCACAATCGAAGCCACGTTGGCCAAAACCTGTAATGGAATCACAATCATTAACACTTTCTTCTCCCTCTCTTGCAAAAATGGTTTCAAAAACGACCACCCCGTCCCGATCAAAACGATCACCGTAAAAAGCAAAACGACCCTCAAAAATTGGAATATATAAAACAATACATCCCAACCGTGAGGCGTCCCGCTGACTTTCACGAAATGCTTATCCTCCCCAGCGCAAATAAGATTCAACGCCTTCATCAAAAGCAACCCCGCCATCAACAAGTGAATTCTATGAACCGATCTCTTGTTCGTGACACAAACGTAGATCCAGATTCCAACAAACGCTACGTACAAGAACGAGAAGAAGAAAAACAACGAAGGCAGTTGAGTCAAACCGGCTGAGAGATAATCCCTCGAACCATCGCGATCCAAGTTATAAATTTCGGTCCGTACGTTCATTGTGACCTGAGTTTCCGGCGCGCAATTGGCGAAGAAGAGAGAGTATTCATTGGGAGCCGTGACGGGATACGATTGATTGAAGCGCGAGAGAGGCGGCGGAGAGAGGTCACGGAAGTTGAACAATTTTAGAATGTAGTGCGAATCGAGGACGCAGAAGTTAGGGTTTTGTTGGATCTCGACGAGGACTTGAAGGAGGGATTCTTCGGAGAGGAGGAAGAAACCGAGACGGGAAGGGTTAGGGTTAGGGGCGGAGGTTGAGGAAGAAACAAAAACGGAGCTGACGGAGATGGTGACGTGGCCGGTATGGGTGAATCCGAATTTTTCAAAGAGAATCATGGGGCGGGAGTCGGCAGTGATGGTTAGGGTTTTGATCTCGGCAGTAGTGAGGGACAGAAGCGAGAGGAGGAGGAGGAGGAACGTCGAGAGGAAGGGTAATTTCGCCATTTTAGGAAAAAAAATGGTGGTTGTTGCGGAGGCGAGAGGCGAGAGGCAAGGGGTTAAAGAGTGGAAGGTTGTGAAGGAGCTAAAGAGATACGAGAGGTGAGGGGCAATAAAATAAGTTGTTAGTTTATCGACGAAAATGCCATTGGGATCTCAGATCTGGTTGTTTGTTTGTGGAGTTGAATTGAAGTAATCTCTTCTCTTGCATAAAAATTAATATAAGGGGATGTTGATGTTGCCGGTTCGGGGCATTTGTCTTTTCGGGTGTTAACACTACGGTGTCGTTTACAGATGGATGGGTTTCTTTTCTTTGTGTTTCTTGCTTGTAACACAGGTTCGGTGGTCTCGGTCAATGGGTCCAGCCCGATCAATAGACTACGAGTTATGAAAGGAACCCAACATTTTCGCAATTTTGAATGGTCAACGATTTCTGACGTCCACATTCCACATTCCATTACAAAATGTTTTTATTTGTTTTTTAGAAATTATTTTTCAGATAAATTTCGGGACCCTTTTTTCCAATGTACTTAGATTACAAATAGGTTTAAATTTCAGTTAAAATGGGTTTCCAATTATGTTAATAATATTTCCTTGAAATGTTGAGATTTTTGAAAATTAATAAAAAATAATGCAAAGTCCCTTGTATTAGATAGAGGATTGCTATTACACAATCTCACAAGGACAATGAGGGGCAATTGCCCTCCCCAATGTATTTAATTGTTATTGTTATGCCTGAAAAGGTAAGACTGACGTGNGTCCAGCCCGATCAATAGACTACGAGTTATGAAAGGAACCCAACATTTTCGCAATTTTGAATGGTCAACGATTTCTGACGTCCACATTCCACATTCCATTACAAAATGTTTTTATTTGTTTTTTAGAAATTATTTTTCAGATAAATTTCGGGACCCTTTTTTCCGATGTACTTAGATTACAAATAGGTTTAAATTTCAGTTAAAATGGGTTTCCAATTATGTTAATAATATTTCCTTGAAATGTTGAGATTTTTGAAAATTAATAAAAAATAACGCAAAGTCCCTTGTATTAGATAGAGGATTGCTATTACACAATCTCACAAGGACAATGAGGGGCAATTGCCCTCCCCAATGTATTTAATTGTTATTGTTATGCCTGAAAAGGTAAGACTGACGTGTGGTCTCGTCAATAAAGGATGGTCAGAGCTCAGAGAGGTTTTTGTGTCGTCTAGGTGCGGCCACGTCGCCCCTGGCGCAAGTGGTATGACTCTTGTCAGTACGGCAGGTGAGTACCATGTCAGTCAACGGCTAGGGATCGTCCACGTGTCCAATTCATGCATAAGTCAAGGAAATCACTCAGACAGGTGAGCAATGGGACGTAGAGAAGGATTTGCATGGTACCTACCCACTTGCAGATTTAGTAATAATCCTTGGTTCACCTCACTATAAATCGAGACATTCTCTCTCATTTGCGGGATTAGGTAATTTCACTCTAGACTAGCGCTCTCTCTCTCTCTCGTATTCCCTAAGCTGTAACTCAGCTCGTTTAACGTGACCTAACCTTATTCATTAATACAATATCAGTGGACATATGATTCGCTTTTGAGCATCCGAACCACTTTAAACATTGCTTTTCACCCTTTATTTAACTAAATATTCTCATATCACGTTTAACTTCTAAGTCCGCTTAGCATTTCTCACGTGCGAATAGTTGGTGTCAAAATCAAGCATCAACAGTTTGACTCCAGAAGAATGACCTGATTTAGTACCTACTATTCATCAGAGAAATCTCTGACTAATTGGTCCCATAATAGCAAATGGCCCGCGGCTTCGAATATGAGCGAACCAATCATGGTAATGAAGCAATCCCCCAGGTATAGGATACTTCTCTCGAAGTGCCGCCAGTCCAATAGAATATCATGAGGGATATTCCTTCAAGCTCACAACCCAACCTAACTGTCATTAATTACCTGGAGAGGTTCAATAATACTCTTCAAATGGTCAGTCGAAGGTTGGACCGATTGGATTGGGCCATGCCAACCGAATCCAATGTGGTGGTGCTACTGCCAAAAACGTCTGCAGGTCGCGTGAAAGCGCGAAAAATGGCGAAAGCCTATGCCGCGAGCACTGCAGCGCGTTAGAAAAAAGAAAAGCAATGGCATGACCTTCCTCACCTTTTTCTTTTGGCTATGGGGGTCGAACTTCTCCCTGTAAGCAGAAGATGCGCACTAGCTTAACAAATTGGAAGTATGGTCTCGTGAGAGCTCCTTGCTTTCTTCTAAATATGTAAGTGTTGTGACATTGTTTAAAGGGAGCCTGGGGTTTTATAGTGGAGGAAATGGCGATCGGGATTTCCGAAGCCGAGTGACGTTTGGATGGAATGCGTCTCTGGTCGTTGATCGCGACCACGTGTCATTAATCAGCGAGAAAGAGTAACCGCCATGCTTCAAGAAATTCAATCGTCGCGTCTCTCTGTTGAAATAATCGAGCGACAACTCAATTCTCTCCTCCGTATTAAATGCGCTCTCATCCACATTTAATGCCCTAATAAGGAATGTCGTTTCAGCATGACTTGCATTTAATGCGCATGGCTGACATTTATTGCGTACATAACACGTGAATAAAGGAAACCTCATTAATGGATTAGCTATCAAGTGCAACGGATAACATCTGAAGAGGTCGTTGGGACAGAACACTCTTTGTCGCATGTCGGTTGCAGAGCGATGTGATTCCTTCAGCAGAAATATGCTAAGTATGACCAGGTTGTGAACCTCGGTTAAGATAAGAGGCTTGTCGAGATGGTACTGAGTAGGGTCTAACCTAGGTTGCTGACTTTGCAGAAGGCGATCTCAGGTCGCTTGTCGAAGCATGTTCTACGACATTCTTGCAGCTAGGTCATCTCAACCAGGCGTCATTTGGACATGTCAAATCATGGCATAATTATGCAGTTATCAAGGTTCGTTCCTTAAACCTTAAAAACAGGGGAACTTCTGTTATGTCTAAAAAGGTAGGGCTGACGTGAGGTCTCGTCAATAAAGAATGGTCATAACTTAGAGAGGTTCTGTGCCGTCCAGGTGCAACCACGTTGCGCTTGGCGCAAGTGGTATGGCTCCTGTTAGTACGGCAGGTGAGTGCCTAGCTAGTCAACGGCTGGGGATCGTCCATGTGTCTAATTCATGCATAAGTCGAGGAAATCACTCGGGTAGGTGAGCAATGAGACGCAGAGAAGGATTTGCATGGTACCCACCCACTTACAGATTTAGTAATCATTACCTTGGTTTACCCGACTATAAATAAAGACATTCTCTCTCATTTGCGGGATTAGCTAATTTCACTCTAGACTAGCTCTCTATCTCTCTTTCTCTCTCTGTCTCTCTCTCTGTCTCTATCTCATATTCCCTAAGCTATAACTCAGCTCGTTGAATGTGACTTGACCTTATTCATTAATACAATATAAGTTTTTAAACATTGTTTTTCACCTTTTATTTAACTAAATATTCTCATATTGCGTGTGATTTCTAAGTCCGCTTAGCATTTCCCACGTGCGAATAGTTGATGTCAAAATCAATCATCAACAATTTTTTTTAAATAATAAATTCTATTAAAGTCTTTTTGTAAATTATTGAAAAGCCTGTATTTAACTAATTTTAAACCAGCATCATATTTTGTCTTCAATTATTCTTCTTTTCTTGATGAAGAATACGGTAGGTAATTTCTTTATCTTTTTCATATTTTAGTAATAAAAAAGTTTCAAGCTGTTGTCTAATTAATCTCAAACACTTTTTAACCTTTTTACTTCTCTCTCTCAAAAATTATTTAATATCATTTATCTTCAATTCTATTTATCTATGCCAATTTTTGAACATATATAATTTTTTAAATATTTATTTTTAAAAAGTGAGTGTGTTTGTTTTATTATTCCCATTCTATCCTATTCAAAATATATGTTTGTTTCACTATTTTCAACATCCAATCATATTCTATTTAACTCAAAATATTTAGAGGGCGTTTGTTTTAGTATTTTGGATAGTATTTTTGAAAAAGTAAGAGTTGGATGGTTATTACGAGATATGATTTAAAAATTAACAAAAACACCCATAGGTTTGTTAATTTACTAAACACCCCTGTAATAAAACATTGAAAATTAACAAAAACACCCCTCACTCACCCATTAAATACCGGTAGTCAGCCACCACCATCGGAGGGTGGCTAAAGTCGTCGTATCGGCGCCCGACCAACTGGATCTGGTAGGTCGTGCGCCGATATGGCCTTTTTCAACCAGATCCACTGTGGATCTAGCCGGAAAAGGCCAGATCTACGGCCAAAGATTTGGCCGAAAAAGGCCAGATCGACTCACTATCTGCCAGATTCAGTTGGTAGTGCGCCATTATACCAGATTCCAGCCACCTTTCTGTTGTGGTGGCTAGGATCTGGCAAATGTAGGTGAGTAAGGGTGTTTTTGTCAATTTTTAAAATTTTTTGAGGAGTGTTAGTTAATGAACAAATTTAGGGGGTTTAAAATTAATTAAATATAATATAATATAATAGTATTTTTATAATAGGGAAACAAATGTATATTTTGGAAATGATAGAAAATAGGATAGGACAAAAATAGCGAAACAAACGCTTGGATTTTTTTAACCCCTAGATTTGTTAATTTAACTAAACACTTCCAACAATAAAAGTTTATAAATTGACACCCCCACCCACTCATATATTCCCGCCGACATTTAATGGGTAGATATGAGTGTTTTTGTTAATCTTAAAACTTTTATTGTAATAGGTGTTTAACTAAATTAACAAATATAGGAGATTAAAAATAATCTTACCAAATATATTTTCAAATTCAAATTCTATCATCATAATAATAACCTAACTCAGCTTTTTCAAAAATACTACTTAAAATAATAAAACAAACACACCTTATATATAAATATTTAAATAACTTGAAAAAAAAGTTTACAAGTACAGTATAATGTTCAAATATATTTAAAATACGAAAATAATAAAATGTCATTTTTGGCGTACAACGGAGTGAACCTCTTTTTGTATTACGTAAGTGGACCGAGCCCAACGATAACTTGAACCGAGGTGGTCAGTTAACGTTTAGCCGCATAGATAGTTAGATACTGTCGAAAGGCAGAAAGAAACCAAACTTGTAACGCACATGAACAACACGTGCACGTCAGTTGTTTCTTTCTCAAAAACTGTGTAGATGTAGGCATGTAGCTACCTCACGAATAATATTTGAGATGACAATTATTATAATTTATAAAACACAAATTATTTTAGAGTAGACCTGTTCCCACCCAAAATTAGCTAAACGCCTAGTTCACACCCCTGGTTTCATTATTTCAATTCCCACCCTTAAATTAAACACTGTTAAAATTTTTGGATTCTGACACAATATGGAGAGTGTTATTACCAAATTGTTCTTACAAATAAATTAATAAATTATTTTTTAACCTCAAATAGATTTGGATTTTTTTGGCAACCCCAAGGGAGGGGAAAATCAAGAGAAAAGACTCAGATTCGACCAAAATGAAAGTAGACGAGACTGAGGGATGGATGGACTTTTGTCGGGGATGAGTAGGGGAAGCTAGTGGTGGTGATGGTGATGTCAAACGGCGCCGGAATCTGACCATATCTATTTTTTTGCGATTGTCATGAGGGAGGGGAAAATTGCGGATAAAAGGTCCAGATTCGACCAAAATGGAGGCAGACAAGGTTGGGAGATGAATGAGTGGGGAAAGTTAGTGGTGGTGATGGTGATGTCCAATGGCACCAGAATCCGACCAGATCTGGATTTTTTCGACAGTCATGAAGGAGGGGAAAATCGTGGATAAAGACTCAAATCCAGCCAAAATAGAGGCGGACGAGGCTGGGGGATAGATGGCTTTTGTCGGGGATGACTGGGGGAAGCTTGTGGTGGTGATCTCAAACGGCACCGGAATATGGCCATATCTGGATTTTTTCGACAGCCGTGAGGGAATGGCAAATCTCGGATAAAAGGCTTAGATTCGACCAAAATGGAGGCTGAAGAGGCTAAGGGATGGATGGGTTTTGTCGAGGATGAGTGGGGGAAGCTAGTGGTGGTGGCGGTGATGTCCAACGGCGTAAGAATCTAGCTAGATCTAAGTTTTTGCGGTTGCCATAAAGGAGAGGGTGATGAAGGATGCTTGTGAGAGAAATTTGATATGTAGATGGTTGTTTTGAAATTTTCATTTTTATTTAAGATTTAATGTAGTTCAAATTACTATTTTGCCCTTTGACCGTTACGTTAAATGATTTTCTGTTAATTTAAGGGTAGGAATCTGGAATAAATGAAACAAGGGGTGGGAACTTGAAAGTTCACTAATCTTTGGGTGGGAACCAGTCGTTTACTCATTATTTTATTATAATTTCGAAATATAAAATTTAATTTTGGAAACTAGAGAAAGAGAAGTATTGGCTAATTTAATTGGTAATATCAATTAGGGATAGTAATGTGAAAGAGAACAGGGGCATTTCCTGAATTTCTCAGAACTTTCATTAATTAACTTGGTGATGCCCCGGTTCCGTCCATTCAAACTAGTTTACACGAAATCCTAAATTTAACAAAATCAATTCAATATACAACTCATATATTTAACCTAGAAAAGCAAACTCGTGTAACCCTACTCATAAATCTGGAGAATTTACACAATGAAAACAACACTCTTCTACAATTCACTCAGTCCCCGGTTTCCCAAGTGTTCTGCTGTAGCCCACATCAAATTCTTCATTTCTGCATTTGCATTTTTATGTGGCAAGATTTTCATTTCTTATTTGAGAATTAAACCTTAAAGATTAAATAGACACACTGGCAAATTTTTTTGCTAAAACCATCTTTCAAGCATTTCATCAAAGACTTTTCAAGCAACAATGTTAAAAGAGACTGTGAGCTACATACCAGCAGTGAGAGAAACTTGCATCAATGCACAACTAAGCCAACTTCAAGCAAACTTGGTAAGCCACTTTCACTCATTCCACCACCATCATCAATGACACAATCAAAATTATAAAAAATAAATAAATAAATCCACCTCCGTAAACCACACAAATATGATGAAATATGGAATGCTGAAGATATTCATGCTGGAATCAAGTGATTACTGATATAGTGCTTACTTGGTTAAATGCTGTAATATTTTATAATTAAGACTTTATTGTATTTCCATTATTGTATTATTGTATTTCTTTTATTATACTCATAGCCACTGTATAAATTGGTTGTCGTACACGTTACAAATACACAAGTAATACAATAACAATATTCTCTTCTCTTTCTGTTCTTGACATTCTTAAGCTATTCTTTGCTACTTTTGTCAAGCTTTCTTTCTGTTGGCATTCTTCTATAGTATTCTGCCTCTCTTGCCTTCCTTCCAGCCTAAACTTTGACATGGTATCAGCTAGGGGTGTTCGATTCCAGCTACCCTGCATTTTTTGAAGGAACCGAAACCGGAACTGACGGTTCCTTGAAATTTGGAACTAGAACCGGAACCGACGATTCCGGTTCCTAGGTACCCAAAACCAGAACCCATAACAACGGTTCCAGTGCCGATTCTGGGTACCCAGTAAAATTATATGACCCCCCAAAAGTTTTTAAAATAGCAAAAAAAACCCTCAAAAACTTACAAATACCCCCCACTTGGCACTTGTTAACAAAAATAAAATTACAAATTATAAATTCAAAATTACAAACTCCGTTACTTTGTGAAGGTAGATTCTCAAAGTCAAACCAACTTACTTTAAATATTATGAAATATAAATATAAATGTATTCACATTACTTTTTCTACAAAAGTTTTATTAACCCCCCTAATCGTTAATTTTATTTTATATTAGTTTTGGTTCTTGGTTCCTGGTTTCGGTTCCGGTTCCTAACTATAGGAACCGGAACTAGAACCGTACAGTAACGGTTCCAAAAATTTGAAACCGGAACCGCACAATAACGGTTCTAAAAATTTGGAACTGAAACATACCCGTTGACGGTCAGTTCTGGGTAGGAACCGAAACTAAACTCCGAGTACCCGCCGATTTCGATTTTAACCGGTTCTTTTGAACACCCCCAGTATCAGTGCATTTTCGCTTCTGCCAAGATCCTCTCTAAGCCTTTGTTTTTCTGAACATGCAAAACAAGGCAATAGGATTAGATTATCTTTCCTTACAATAAAACCAAACATCACCTTTTAGCCAAACAATGGATCAAACCAAAACACCAATAGCACCAAATTCAAAGGCTACCAATCACAAACCCAAATGACCAAACAGGCCCACGTCACTCAACTGTCCCAAACAACCAAACTAGCCCAACTTCCCAAACTGGCCCAAACAATCAAACTAGCCAAGCCCACCAAACTGGCCCATACCAACAAACTGGATCCAACTACCAAATTGGCCCAATCCCTTTCAGGTTTATGGGTCAAAACCCTAACCCAACATGCAAATACTAAACCGAAGCGACAGGCTTGACACAGATATTCTACCTGTAAACAAAAATCCAAATGATCGTATTGTAACAATTTACCGAATTCACAGCTCAAACTCTTCATCCCTGAGGGCCATCTCGGCAGCTTCTTCTTCCTCCTCATCAAGAACAAAGTACTCATTCCTCTCCACTGGCCTAAACATATAGAAAATCACCATATAGAACACCAAACTCGCTGTCTCCTCAGCTGCATTGCTCACCCACTGATACTTATACGCAGCAATGGTCTTAAGGGCAAACACCACAATTCGCGTAAAATACAAGTACCCAATCACCACAATATAAAACTGCCTAAACAATGTTAATTTCGCCAAGTTTCTGGCCGCCTTCCCATCAGACTTCGATGTCTCCCTCAAAGACCTAATCGACCACACAATCGGGAAGATAATGGCGCAACAGCAGATAATATCTACCAACAAGAACACCTGGTTCCATGTCACCCAATCTTTAATAAACGGCCCCGTTTCACCAATCACAATCGAAGCCACGTTGGCCAAAACCTGTAATGGAATCACAATCATTAACACTTTCTTCTCCCTCTCTTGCAAAAATGGTTTCAAAAACGACCACCCCGTCCCGATCAAAACGATCACCGTAAAAAGCAAAACGACCCTCAAAAATTGGAATATATAAAACAATACATCCCAACCGTGAGGCGTCCCGCTGACTTTCACGAAATGCTTATCCTCCCCAGCGCAAATAAGATTCAACGCCTTCATCAAAAGCAACCCCGCCATCAACAAGTGAATTCTATGAACCGATCTCTTGTTCGTGACACAAACGTAGATCCAGATTCCAACAAACGCTACGTACAAGAACGAGAAGAAGAAAAACAACGAAGGCAGTTGAGTCAAACCGGCTGAGAGATAATCCCTCGAACCATCGCGATCCAAGTTATAAATTTCGGTCCGTACGTTCATTGTGACCTGAGTTTCCGGCGCGCAATTGGCGAAGAAGAGAGAGTATTCATTGGGAGCCGTGACGGGATACGATTGATTGAAGCGCGAGAGAGGCGGCGGAGAGAGGTCACGGAAGTTGAACAATTTTAGAATGTAGTGCGAATCGAGGACGCAGAAGTTAGGGTTTTGTTGGATCTCGACGAGGACTTGAAGGAGGGATTCTTCGGAGAGGAGGAAGAAACCGAGACGGGAAGGGTTAGGGTTAGGGGCGGAGGTTGAGGAAGAAACAAAAACGGAGCTGACGGAGATGGTGACGTGGCCGGTATGGGTGAATCCGAATTTTTCAAAGAGAATCATGGGGCGGGAGTCGGCAGTGATGGTTAGGGTTTTGATCTCGGCAGTAGTGAGGGACAGAAGCGAGAGGAGGAGGAGGAGGAACGTCGAGAGGAAGGGTAATTTCGCCATTTTAGGAAAAAAAATGGTGGTTGTTGCGGAGGCGAGAGCCGAGAGGCAAGAGGTTAAAGAGTGGAAGGTTGTGAAGGAGCTAAAGAGATACGAGAGATGAGGGGGAATATAATAAGTTGTTAGTTTATAGACGAAAAAGCCATTGGGATCTCAGATCTGGTTGTTTGTTTGTGGAGTTGAATTGAAGTAATCTCTTCTCTTGCATAAAAATTAATATAGGGGGATGTTGATGTTGCCGGTTCGGGGCATTTGTCTTTCCGGGTGTTAACACTACGGTGTCGTTTACAGATGGATGGGTTTCTTTTCTTTGTGTTTCTTGCTTGTAACACAGGTTCGGTGGTCTCGGTCAATGGGTCCAGCCCGATCAATAGACTACGAGTTATGAAAACATCCCAGCATTTTCGCAATTTGAATGGTCAACGATTTCTGACGTCCACATTCCACATTCTATAACAAAATGTTTTTATTTATTTTTTAGAAATTATTTTTCAGATAAATTTCGGGACCCTTTTTTCCAATGTACTTAGATTACAAATAGGTTTAAATTCCAGTTAAAATGGGTTTCCAATTATGTTAATAATATTTCCTTGAAATGTTGAGATTTCTGAAAATTAATAAAAAATAAAGCAAAGTCCCTTGTATTAGATAGAGGATTGCTATTGCACAATCTCACAAGTCAAAAGGTGTAAGACCCTTACCAAGGGCAAGGGTAGGCATGTGGCTTTCATCCTTAGCCACAGCCTCGCTAAGACAACACACGGGTGTGCGTTGAAAAGGATGGTTGAGATCAGGTGTGGAGTGTTTGAGTGTTGGGACGCCAAACACTTACTGATGAGATAGCTCACGGGTGTGGACACTTGCGAGCTAAGATGTGCGCGAGCAGGCATGTCGTTAACGTGGGTGTGAGTGCACCCACGAGCAGGCTAGGCTGCCACGAGTAGGCTAGACAGTGCCACGAACAGGCTAGACTGTAGCACGAACAGGCAAGACAGTGGCACACGAGTTGGGACGTGTGCGAACATACAAGTTAGATAACGAGCAGCTAAATTCAGGCATGGGGCAGAGACCAACGTGCGTGAGGTGCATGGGGCATGCACTAGATTGATGGGAGCAATCAAACAAGGCTGCATGGTTGTTGGACCAAGGCTGTGGGATGGTTATATGTGTCCAGATACATTTGTATGTAAACCAACTGTCATGTAACTGTTGATAAGGTTGTAAAACTGCTATGTAACTTATGTGCCCATTTGTATATAAGGCAGGCAGGCTGTATATTCGAGAGAGTGAGAGGGCAAGGGTTATATGTGTTTGTAAACCTTGTTATAACTTGAGTGCTAAGTCTGTGATAGAGGGATCAAATTGTAAACAGTGGGATACATTGTGTGAGTGCTTGAGTTTCCTTGTATTCGGATTGAAATAATACAAGGTTGGGTTTTCCCGTATCTGTTGTGCATTTACTCTCATTAGTCTCTGTTGGATTGTGTTTGCAATTTTGTAATAGGGAAACGCACAACTTGGAGAAGGCTGACAAGTGTCTGTGCACTTGTGCCGTGCAGCGCCTAGAGACGAGATTAGGCCTTGTGACAGTGGTATCAGAGCCAGGTTTTAACCAGGTTCGTTTTTCTAATTTCCTTATTGTTGTTTCATGCCAAAAAGAGTTGAGATGGACGCTAGAAGGGAAAGATTGACGCGGTTAGAGGAGATGCTGGGTGAGACTCAAGATGGCCAGAATATGACCATCAATGAGAGACTTGATCAGGTTGATCAAAGTTTTGAAATTCTCCATAAGCAATTTATGGAAATGGTGGACCAGACCAACAGGAGATTGGAGGCCCTAGAGGACAACAATGCCTTGCTGAAACATGCCCTCCCTCGTAGTCTTGATGGGGGAAGTACAACCAAGATAAGAGTGCTTGAACCAAAGGCTTTTTAGGGTGCTAGAAACGCCAAGGAGTTGGAAAATTTCTTGTGGGATATGGAGTAGTACTTTGAGGCAGCGAAAGTCCATGATGTGGAGAAGGTTTCGATCACTAGCATGTATTTGGCTGGTGATGCAAAATTGTGGTGGTGCACAAGATTAGCAGATGATGTGAGTGCGGGTAGGCCCAAGGTTGATACTTGAGAGAAACTAAAGAAGGAATTAAAGAATCAATTCTTGCCAGGGAACACATCATGGAATGCCAGGGACCGGATGAAAAAGCTCTAACAAAAGGGTACTGTGAGGGAGTATGTCAAGGAGTTTAGTTCCTTGTTGTTAGACATACAAAATATGTCCGAGGAGGACAAATTGTTTAACATTATGTCAAGTTTGCAAGGTTGGGCACAAGTGGAATTGCGAAGGCAGAAGGTGCATGATTTGCCTAGTGCTATTGCTGCAGCAGATGGGTTGATTGATTTTAAAAGTAGCAAGGAAAGAGATCCTGTTGTTGCAGCGAAAGCCAAAAAGAAGGACAACCGGGAATTTAAGGGAAGCAAGAAAAAGGACTTCCACTTTTAGAAGATAAATTTTGCTAGTGAAAAAGGGAAGGCCATTGTTACCAATAGTTTTTCCAAGGAAAACAAGGAAGGAAAAATGATGTATGGTTGTTTCATATGTGGAGGGCCACATAGGGCAAGGGATTGCCGAAAGAGAGAGAAGCTAAATGCTTTGATGGGTGAAGAGGGAGAGTCTAGTGGTGAGCAAGTCACTATGAATCTGATGCAGTTGATGAATGCTATGAGGGCAGAAACGGATTCAAAGCAAAACAATGGTGATACTTACCTTGGAGTTGTGAGCAAGAGTGCCGCTCGAAATGCTCTATTGTTTGTTGATTTGAAAGTGAGGGATAGCCAAATTAAAGCCTTGTTGGACACAGGAGCAACTCATAACTTTGTGGCAGATCAGGTTGTTTCCAAGTTGGGGCTAGCACTTTCCAAGAGTCCTACAACGGTGAAGGCTGTGAATTCGAGTGCACGTGGGGTGACTAGAATAGCTTACAACGTGCAAGTTTGTGTGGGCTGCTGGACGGGTAAAATTAATTTAACTGATGTTCCTTTAGATGATTTTGATGTTATTTTGGGAATAGATTTTTTTAAAGCAGCCAAGGTGTCGGTGGTGTCTTACTTGAATGGCATGATGATAAATCATGAATCAAGTCCTTGTTTTATACCTTGCTGTTCATTGGGAATGAGTAGCAAACAAGGGCAAGCTAAGCTTACTACTATCTCAGCCACGGCAGTAAAGCGTGGGCTGAAGAAAGGGCAGGAAACATGTTTAGCAACATTGATAGAAATCAAACCTGATAAGAAGGTTGAAGTGCCGAATGCAGTGGCAGAATTGTTACAAGACTTTGCTGATATTATGCCATGGGAATTGCCCAAAGAACTTCCTCCAAGACGAGCAATTGATCACAAGATTGAGTTGGAACCAGGGGCGTTCCCACCTGCTCGTCCACCCTACAGAATGTCACCCATAGAGTTGAAAGAACTCTGAAAACAACTTGATGTAGGTGTAGTGAGACCATCAAAGGCTCCGTATGGTGCTCTTGTGTTGTTTCAAAAAAAGCAAGATGGTTCCATTCGGATGTGTGTGGACTATAGAGCATTGAACAAGGTGACGATTCGAAACAAATATCCCGTTCCCCTTGTTCAAGACCTCCTGGATTGGCTGAGTGGAGCTTCGGTTTTCACTAAGTTAGACTGCGATTGGGATATTGGGAAGTTAGAATTGCTACAGGAGATGAGCCCAAAACCACTTGTGTCACCAGGTATGGTTCTTATGAATTCTTAGTCATGCCATTTGGCTTGATAAATGCACCGGCTACATTTTGCAATTTGATGAATGATGTACTGTATGAATTCCTGGATGAGTTTGTGGTGGTATATTTGGATGATATTGTGATATATAGCCAGAATTTGGATGAGCATTTGATTCATATAAGGAGGGTACTAATGCGGTTGAGAGAACATCAGTTGTATGTGAAAATGGAGAAGTGTGAGTTTGCTAAACAAGAAATAATGTCCTTGGGGCACTTGGTGAGTAAGGGCCAAGTGAGGATGGATCCTAAGAAGGTGCAGGCGATTGTGGAGTGGGTGGCTCCTACAAAAGTCCCAGAGTTGAGATCTTTCTTAGGATTAGCAAACTATTACCGTAAGTTTATTGCGAGGTACTCAAAGAAGGTAACACCGTTGACAGATTTGCTGAAAAAGGGGCAACAATGGGAGTGGACAGAATTATGTTCTAAGGTTTTCAAAAGGTTGAAGGAAGCCATTGCTTCTGAACCGGTGTTGAGATTGCCAAGTTTTGAGTTACCTTTTGAAGTGCACACAGATGCTTCGGAGAAAGCAATTAGTGGGGTGTTAGTCCAAGAGGGACATCCCATAGCTTTTGAGAGCCGAAAGTTAAAAGGGGTGGAGCAGCGGTATTCTGCTCATGAGAAAGAGATGGTAGCCGTGGTTCATTGTTTGCAGGTGTGGAGAGTATACTTGCTGGGCACAAAATTTGTGGTGCTGACAGACAATATGAGTAATACTTTCTTCAAGACACAGAAGAAATTATCCCTAAAACAGGCCCGGTGGCAAGAGCTTTTGGCTGAGTATGATTTTGTATGGCAACACAAGTCAGGAAGGCACAATCAGGTAGCTGATGCGTTGAGCAGGAAATAGGTGGTTGTTGCTCTATATGCAATAACTCAGGTTGAATCTGACATGTTAGACAGGTTGCGAGTGGCGACTGAACAGGATGCTGAGTATAAGGACTTGGTGACAAAAGTTCGGGATGGTACTATACTGCGTTACTGGTTAGAGGATGGGTTATTGTATGCCAAAGGAGACAAGTTGTATGTTCCAAGTAAGGGTGGATTGAGACGGGTGTTGTTAAAAGAAGTCCACAATTCACCTTGGGCTGGATATCCTGGTAAGGAGAGAACTTTGGCATTATTGACAAGGGATTATTATAGGCCTATAGTGGAAGCTGATATTGAGTCCTATGAGAAAACTTGTTTGGTGTGTCGACTGGACAAGACAGAAAGGAGAAAGGTAGCAGGGCTATTGCAACCTCTACCAATTCTAGAGAGGCCTTGGGTGTCAGCCTCTCTTGACTTCATCAGTGGGTTCCCAAAGGTAGAATGTATGTCTTCTGTACTTGTTGTCGTGGATAGATTTTCGAAATATGTAGTTTTTATAGCAACACCAAAAGCTTGTTCAGTAGAGACAGCTACTGCCTT